AAATGCAGGCGAAGGCTTCCACCTGATGTGCTGTCCCTGGGGAAAGCGCCACAGAGAACTGCATATTCGACAGTCAAGGCCTGTCTCTGTCCATCGCCCCAGAAGGACGGTAGTATCTGAGGAAGGAGCCCAGGGGTCATGGCGATGTTCTTATGGATTGGCAATCTCCTCATGGTAAAGAGTGTCTTTGATAAATGCCAGGTATAAAGGGGCAGACACCAGAGTCCCCAAGAAGAGAGGACTGAGGAGGCTGAACAGGTTATGGAGCCCAGTATGGACAGGGACATGGTGCCATACAGTTCGAGGAAAGGGGCAGGCCGTGGCTCTGGGTCACTCCTCCCATCTCCCTCCTTCTTGACCCTGGGCTTCAAGATGGCGGCCTCTCCCACGGCCTCCTGGCTGTTTCTCTTCTCAGAGGCTGAGGAGTCCCAGGGAGGGACAATATGGGCAGAACCCAAGCCAAGGACTCTAGAACCTCCCTGTGTCCAAGACAGTGCCCTGGAGAGGCCTGAATAATGTCCCAGTTCCTCCACAGCCACCTGGACGTTGAGCGCCGTGGTGGAGCCAGCAGACAGCAGGGGGTGATTTTCTAAAATCGTGGCTAATTGGAGAGAGTTCAGTAGAGCCCAACGTCAATCATAAATAAAGTCATAAACTTGGAAAGGCAGCTATCAGCAAAATACACCTGCCCCTCGCAATATGCATGACTTCCTGGCGGAGCCCCGGGCCCCCTGCCAGAGGAGGAGAGAGTGCAGATGAATATTTTAGGACTGTGGTGTCGGATGAAGGTTGTACTTTATGACTACAAAGTTGTGACTGTGAAATGCGGTGCCTTGTTTAGAGTAGGAGGAAGTGGCCAGACAGCTGTTACTGCCTCTTGAATCCAAACAGGATGGGGCCAGAGCCAGGGAGTCAGAAGGGCCCAGGAGACACGGGTGGCATCTTCACAGTGGAATGGTGGCTCTGGTCTGAGGGACATAAGCGCCCAACACTTGTCCAGAAGTCGCTGGCTAAAATCAGGAAGTTGAAAAATCTCAGGATGACTCACCAAACCCCAGGGAGTCACGGTAGAGGCCACCCTGGACTCCACTGAAGCCCTAACTTGACCACCTCCTGTGTGGCCTTGGGAAAGTCATTTACCCTCCCTGAGCTTCAGTTTTCCCTGTTTCATTTATTTGCTCAGCAGATGGGTTTTGCAGCTGGCTGAGGGCTACAGACAGGGCTGACATGGCCTTGCTTTCAGGGAGTTTACTGTCTCGATACTTGTTACGGTTTAGATATGAGGTGTCCCCAAAAGCTCCTGGGTGAGACATGCAAGGAGGTTTGGAGGAGAAATGATTGGGTTATGAGAGCCTTAACCTAATCAGAGCATTAATCCTGATGGGATTAACTGAGTGGTGGCTGGAGGCAGGTGGGGTGTGGCTGGAGGAAGTGGTGGTCATGGGGCCGTGACTTTGGGGTCTATATTGTATCTGGAGAGTGGAGTCTCTCTCTGCCTCCTGGTCACCATGTGAGCTGCTTCCCTCTGCCACCCTCTTCTGCCATGATGTCCTGCCTCATCTGGAGCCTCATGGAACGGAGCCAGCTGTCTATGGACTGAGATCTCTGAAACTGTGAGCCCCTCAATCAACTTCCTCTCTTTAATTGCGCTGGTCAGATCACAGCAGCAAAAACGCTGACTAAAACGACATTAAATAACAACAGAATGGGCCAACGAAAAATGAGAATTCATTATGAAAAAGTATGTAGTGCTCTGAAATCTCAACTGGGGAGAGAAGAACCTTCTGGAAGGTTCTAGAGGCACAGTGAAACTTAGACTAGGACCTAAAAACTAGGGCAGCTCCAGGCAGGCCCAACAAGGTAGAGGAGAAGGTTCCAGAAAGAGAAAATAGGGTTTTCAAAAGTTCTGGAGCGGGGAACGGTGGGGTGAGCCAGCAGAGCCAGGCGAAGGCCGGCGTGGTTGAGACTGGCTGAGAAGGCCGTGCAGGGTTATTCGAAGCCACCGGATATTCCTTCTGATCCTGAGTGACAGTGGGAGTCATGGGAGGTCCTATGGAGAGGTGGGTCCTCAGGTTGTGCTTGTTAGCATCACTCTGTCTGCTGTGCAGGGTGGACAGACTGGAGGACCAGGAACACCTGCAGCCGGGGGTGGGGCAGAGAGCTGCCACTGATGTGGAGGGTGCCGTGGCTTTGAGCTGCATGGTAGCAGTAGACGAGGGGGCCTCTCCAGGCTCCCAGGGGCTGGTGGGCTGGCTGTGGTACAGTGGGGTTGGGACCCCCCAGCCTGTGTGCCCTGGCGCAGCGCGGAGCCTCCCTGGCCGGGCCCTGGTGGAACAGCAGGTGCTGGGGAGGAAGGGGCCAGGCGGGTGGGGCTGCCTGGAGAGGGGCATTGCTGCTGGCCCCGTGGCTCCAAAGCCACAGGAGCCCACACGGCCTTGCAGCTGCCCCTCTGCCCACGGCCCACGTTCCCCAGCCTCCCTGCTGTCCTCCTGCACACAGGGCCAGGTGAAGGGGGCAGTGTGGACAGGGGTCTGGAGAAGGGCCCCTGCCAGCCCTCAGCCAGCCCGAGTCCCTGGGTCCTCACGGTGGCTCCTCCAGCCCTGCTCCCCTTTCCGCCTAGTCCTCCGTCTCCCGCCCTCTCCCTCCTCCTCCAGGGCCCTCTCCTCTCCTCTCTGCAGCCTTCACCACTGGTCCCACTGACCCCAGGCCCTGTGCTCTCAGGGTCCCACATCCTGGGACCAGCACCTTGTCTTTGGAGCTGACCCTCAAGGTGGCCGTGGGCGGAGCCAGCTTGAGGACACTCCTCCTCCCAGAGGGTGGCTCCTCCCCGGGGCTCATTACTCATGAACCCCATCTCCACCTTCTTCCCTGCTGGGGACCCACCCACTCCTCCTGACCTTCCCCATGCCTACCCCTCGGCCACCACCTGCTCTGATGCCTGGAACCCCCTCATTGTTCTCCCTGTCACCATCCCCACCCCCAAACCCGCCATCTAGCCGTCACTCGGGACCAAAGTCATCCTTCTAGAACAGGCCCTCGTCACCACACCGCAGACCCCAGCCCCCAGCACGACCAAGGCCTCCCTTCCCAGTCCACGGGCACCACTGCGGTGGGTGACAGGTGGCTCCCCAAGCCCCACACCGCCCCGGCCTTGTCGCCTGGGGGCCTCCGGCACGCTCTTGTCCTTTCTCAAGGCTTCACCATGGCCTTCCAGGCCCAGGGTGGCCCATCGTGGCTGGGACTGTGGACTGTCCCCGACTGACAGAGTGCTGGCCCCCGAAGGCCCAGTGCTCGCTGGGAGCGACGCAGGCGAGGCCCCTGTTGGCTGCCTGCCTCCCCAGGCTCAGCCCCCCCGAGCTGCTCAGGGTGAATTTTTTCACATCTGCGGGGGACACACTGCCTCAGAGGTCAGGCTCTGTGGGCTCCTGCAGAGAGGCCAGCGGGAGAGTGCCAGGAGGGACAGGAAGAGGGGCCACGGGCCATTGACGGGGGTTAGAGCCCAGCAGGGCCGACCTGTCTGCCTCCCCTCTGGGCCTCCTCCCTGGGCCCTAGGCAGCTGGATGGGGCGGGGGAGGCCAGAGAAGAGAAGGAGCCAGAACCCCGGCCCCCGTCTTGACCCTCAAGGGCCCTGGCTGGGCAGCCCTTCTCCTCCTACCCACCCCACCGCGTCCCACCTCCCTGCCTGTGAGGAGACCCCTGCCAACCCCAGCTGCCTGCTCTTGTCCTTCCCTCTGTCCCAGACGCCCTCTCCCTGAGGCCACGAGGCAGGTGGCTCTGGGTGCACTATGTCCTGCCAGCCCCTGACCATGTGTCACGACTACCACCTGGCCCCAGCCATCCTTCCTCACCTGGATCCTCCCAGCAGCCTCACCGGGCGCCCTGCTCTCTGCCTCCGCCTCTGTGGTCTGCTCTCTGCAGCAGCCCGAGGGATTCTACTAATACTGCCCCACTCAGAACCTTCCACTGGCTTCTCCTCTCATGTGAGTCAAAGCCCATGTCCTCACGGGCACCTCGGAGGCCCTCCTTGTCCAGCCCTCCCTGGCCTTGTCCCCTGCCACTCTCTTCCCTGTTCCTACTGCTCATCCTCTCAGGTCTCTTGATGTTCTTCAACAGTGCAGGCCTCGGTACCCCAGGGCCTTTGCATTTGCTGCTCCAGCTATGGGAATGCTCTTCCTGCAGATGATCACATGGGTCCTCTCTCCCTCCTTCAGGTCTTGGCTGAAATATCAACTTCTCCGTGACATTTTTCTGACCCACCCTTTTCAAAATGTCCATGCCCCATGGGACACACCTGTCCCTTCTGCTCTTGTCACCACCTCCTTTGCCAGAGTTCTTTATTGGCCATGGAGTGGCCTTTATCATGGGGCAGTGGCTCTTGTTTTATTGAACTGAATCCTCAGCACTTTCCATCGTGCAGGAGGTTGGGACGTGCACAAGGCTGGGTCCCAGATGACTGGGGGACAGGGCAGGAGGAGAAGGCAGAGGTGGAGCGGGGCTGTCGGGCTCGAGTGCCCTGGGGTTCTGCCCCAGGGAGTTGTCTTATCAAATATCCCACCTAAGATCTGGTGGGAAGAGACTGTCTATTCCTGTCAGTCGTGACCATGAAGAAGATCAACACGGTGGCCGATTTCTGCTCCTTCCTGGTCATCGTGGAGCAGTGTGGAGCAGTGTTGGATCATGGTTAACAGAGCGCTTACTAGGAGAGGGTCCAGATATGAGCTCTGCTGTTCATTAGCTGTGTGACGCTGGGCAGGTTATTCAACTTCTCTGGGCTTTGATCTTCCTTATCTGTTATATAAAACAGCCATATCTGAAATCCTCCCAACGGTGCCCAGCACCCAGGAAAGGATGTGGAAGAGTTCAAAGTCACTTTTCTTCTGCCCCTTCAGGCCAGGATCCCGTGTGAACGGTCTGTGTGCCACCTTCTGGGCCCCTTTCTGCCCGAGTGCCAGGTCCTGGGAACCAGACCTCTGACGTGAACCCCTTGTCTGTGCCCACAGCGGACGATGCATGTGGCGGGACCCTGCGGGGCCAGAGTGGCATCATCTCTAGCCCCCACTTCCCCTCCGAGTACCACAACAACGCCGACTGCACGTGGACCATCCTGGCCGAGCTGGGGGACACCATCGCCCTGGTCTTCATCGACTTCCAGCTTGAGGATGGGTACGACTTCCTGGAGGTCACGGGGACCGAAGGCTCCTCCCTCTGGTAAGCGCCCGCTCCTTCCTGCCCGTCCTGCGCTCTGGTTTCTGGCCCTGCGCCAGGACGCGGCCAGTTCGTTGTTCCTTCGACTCCTGCTCGGAGCCTTTCTGTCTCGTCCTGATGAGAAACTGCTCCGTGTTGTTAAAACTCGGGTGGATTTTAACAGCGATTTCCGTGTCTGATTCGAAGTGTGTCCTTGAGGCAGAGCGAAGGGCCTTGGGTCGGTGACTTGCATTGAGACTAAAGTGTTCTGGTTTCAGGACGCGGACGGTGTCTCGGTGACACTACCTGAGCTATTGTTTCATTGAGAGATTGGTGTAAGACTCAGGTCCCACCACGGGACCAGAACCTTCCGGGGCGATCCCTTTCCCATGCCCAGGGCCCTGGGGCGTGTGGCATGGCGCTGTGTGTCGGTGTGTGCACAGAGACATCCACCAGCTTTGCCAAGGGTGCCAGCTGCCCGTGGTGTGTCTCTTGGATGTCCTGGGACGTTGCTGGGTCAGGGAGATGGGTGGCTGAGGACTTAGCAGCCTTGGTTGCCTGGGGTCTCCCAGATGTGGACTCAGATGTGCCCGCACCCAGGTTGGCCTCAGGAGCTGCCTGTCGGGTCAAGGGGCTCCCGGGCTCCTGGGGTGGCTGTGGTCGTGTCCCCGGGACGAGACCTGTGGAGCTCTGTCTGCGCGACAGGAGCCCGGGGAAGGATGTGTCCAGATGTGCTCATGGACTTTGTGGCCTCTGCTGCAGATGGGGTGTCGGAGAGGATGCTGGGAGAAGCAGGAGTGGCCGGGGCCAGAGTCAGACAAGGTGGTGTCCCTGGGCATCAGGGCTGTGGTGGATCACAGGACCCAGGGCAGGAATCACGCCTGACGACCTGGAGGGACACTGTGGGAATGGACTCTGCCCAAGGACAGACTCCGATTTGGGGACCAGTGTACCCAGGAGAACTCAGGCTTCCTGATGCAGTGGCCAGTGGGGTGGATGCAGCCCGGAGACCTTGGGAGGTTGAGAGAAGCCCCTGGCTCTGCCCCCTGGAGGTCGGGGTTCCCTAAACCAGCCTTGGAGCTAGAAGGGAGTGGGGTCAGAGGTCAGCCGAGCCTTCTCTGCACTACAGTCCCCATGAGAGGCCCACCCCAGACCTCTGACCCCTGCCTCTTTTGGTAAAATACTTTTTTTTTTTTAATTGTAAAAGGAAGACCAAACAGAGAAAACCTACCGAGGTAGAGAGAAATGAATAACAATGATTAAAATTCTGTCATATTCCCCCTTGGTCCTTTTTTGCCTGGCCTAGATCAAGCTAGCTGGCAATGTTAATATTTTATATTTGTGTATTTTGATATTACAAAATTATGATCTTAATATATCTGTAGTCATGTATTTTTAACTTGGCATGAGATCATGAAATTTTTTTCCTATTTTGTTACAGATGCCCTCCAAACTATAAAAGGCATGATAAATGTATCATTTATTGAGCATTTACTACCAATAGGTGACAGGCCAGTTCTAAGCTCTTTCTAGCTAAAACTTCATTTCTTCTCCATAAAAACTCTATGAAGTAGGTTGCATAATTTTCCTCCCTTCGCAGATGAGGAAAACAGGGCCCAGAGAGGTTAGGCTACTTGTTTGGGGTCACATAGCTAGTAAGGTACAGACCTGGGATTCCAACCCTCCCCCAGGTTAGGCCTATTCTAATTCCTGTCTTCTCAGGACAGCACACAAGGATATACTCCATTTGTGGTGGCTTTCATGGCTGTGTGTCATTCCCTCTTAAGACTGTGGCATAGTTTACTCAGATGTCTTGTTGGATTGTTTTTACTGTATAAAGAGATGCCCAGGTGGATATTCTCACCGGTCCCCTCTTTCCCAGGCTCAAACCCTGTTTGATTCACTTGTTTATGGGTGGGTCCCACCGTCTCCCACAGCCCCTGCACCCCCAGGGGTGAGTCTACACATTGTCCAAGCTTCTCGACTGAAACAAATCTCAAAGAGTCTTCGTTTCCTATTAAGTCACTCAGTGGGGAAGGCATTAAGCAAGAGGAAATCGTTAGGGGAGTCATTCAGAACTCTTTGCTATAAGATTAAATTATAATTATTTACAGGGTTGGTGTCACCATCCCAGGCAGGATGCATTTGTTGTTCTAATTTATACGTGCAGAGCAATTACGGGAAACCGACGTGGAGGCTGGGCCATGTGGGAGGGATGCGCTGTCCGCGGCCCCTCTCCTTTATGGATCCCCGGCTCCCTGTGAAAACCCGATGCTGCGGGTTTACGAGCAGACTGCTTTTGTTTGTGCGCATTAAGACTTCAGGCTGTTCTGTGCCGAGGCAGAGAGAGACAACAGATCCTGTTGGAGAAGATGGATTTGAACAGAGAGGCATCCCTTTACCTGTCGAAATTGGGGACCCCTTTGAAAGATCAAAAAAAAATCTGCATGTCCTGTACCGGGCAGCGGGCAGAAGAGAAGGGGGCAGGCCATGTCCCTGACTCGGTGTCCACACCTGCGCCTCCCTCGAGTGGGGAACCTCGGGAGAGGTTTAATGCCGGGTGAGGGACTAGTAAAAGAGTCGTGGAAACCTAGGACGGGTGATTTTTTTTTTTTATTTTGTCAAGTGAGACTCGTAGAAGAAAACCTGTCAACTCTACAAGCACATCATTTTGTAAAACAAAAGACCACCCACAGCCAAAATGTGGCAGGAAATAGTCCCTTGGTCACCTCGTGTTGACATCAAGGATGATGGGCCCCAGAGCCCACATAAACAGCAGTGCCTGCCCGTCACCAGAGCCCTGTGGTGCCCATGTGCCCATTGGTGGTCCATGCCGGCCTGGGGAGTCCAGCCGTGCGTGTTTGGGACAGGAAAAGGCTGTCACTTTGGCGAGAGCTGAGCCTGGCTGCTCTGGCATGTTTGGAGAGTCCCTTGGGGCTTCGAGTCACTCTCCCTATGTGAATTGCACCGAGTGTGTGACATTGACCAGGAGCAAAAGCTGGGTGTCAACAATCCAGACAGTAGATTAGGTGCTGTTCCGTCATTGTGCGCGCATGCACACACACACATGCACACACACGCGCGCGCACACACACACACACACACTTTGTCTCTGGTTCACTCAACTCAACTTAGAGGCCAGATTTCTCACCTGACCCTTCTGCAGGTGGCCCATTCCTTGTTCTGCTCTGATCCACTCGGTTCCCTCGGACGGTTCTGAACGTACTCCTTCCCCCCAAATGAGAGGAAACTGCCGTCCTGTTGCTAATGTCCACCACGAGGCCCTGGACATTTTTGGAGGGCTGGGACCCAGAGATGTGGAGGTCACTTGAATACACGGGGCTCCGGGTCACTGGGGCCACCTCTGCTTTGGCAGAGTCAGCGGAGTCCCGGCACCAGAAGCCGCTGGCCCGAACGTCTCCCTCCTCCTCCTGTTGAGTCTCTTCTGAATTCTCCTCTGGGCTAAGAAAAAAGACAGACGACAGACAGACATCCCCTCCAACAACATGGGTCAGGCGGCCAGCGCGTCCCCCTGGGGTTAGGCGTCCAGCTGTGGAGGGCATCTGTGGAGCGGGGCACAGGCTGGGGGTCATCAGCATGGCCTGGAAACCCAGGTCCGCCCCGTGGCTGTGTCATCCTGGGATATCCACTCACCTCTCTGGGCCTCAGTTTCCACATCTGACAACGGGGCTCATAACTCAAGCCACCAAGCACGTTGAGAGCCCTAGGCCAGCAAGCCGCTGCCTGGCCCCACACGGGCCGGACAGTCCTGGGACGCGATCAGCCCTCAGGGGTCATCTCTAAGGCAAAAGGGGTGAGGCAGGCATCTCCAGCAAGCTGAGCCTCGTGGGTCCCCTTCTCAGTGGCGTCCTTGAGGCCGTCATCCACACCTGGTGGCATCTCACCAGGCAGAAAGGCACAGCGTGGCTGCCCAGAAGGACCCGGCTCTGGGTGAAGGGTCTGGGAACTGGTTGGGGCATCCCTGGGTCAGAGTGGAGGACGCCCTTGCAAAGGTCAGAAGGCGGGGGGTGGGGGGCAGAGCTTTTGCAACTTGAAGGCTCATGGTGGGAAGTGCCACCACTCTGTCCCGCCCAGCCCCCGCCTGGCCAATGAGCCTCACCAGGGCTGGCTGCTGGTGCGGGCTGGGAACCTGGGCTCTCCACAGCAGTTGGTGTAGCCCCTGCCCCAAGAAGCCCAGGGAGCAGAAAAAAGAGACTGAGCCTGTGGACACGGGGCGGGGGGCATCTCCTCCACGGCCCTCACTGTCTCTGGCCTTGAGGCTGGAGGTCCCCTGGGCCTTCCTGTCTCCTTGTCCCTCCAGGGGCATTTCTTCCTAGATCAGGGTGGGCAGGTGTGAGCCAGGGCCTGCCTTGCACTCAGACTCAAGCCAGGCTTGTCCTGGGGGCCAGATGCGTAAGTGTGGGCAAGAGGGGCCCAGAGTCACCCACTGAGGCTGTTCCAGAGTCACAACCAAAGACATGGGGATGGCTCTAGGGCCCACAAAGAATTCCCATGTGGGGGAAGGAACTTTGGGCTCCCCCATCATGTACACCCCCCACCATGCAAACCCCCATCACATGATCATTTGATCACATGATCATTGCCTGCCCATTCACTATGTCCCCAGACCCAGTCCCCACAGTCCTGTAGGTGACAGACTTGCCTCCTCTGAGCACCTTGAAAGTAGGAAAAGAGCCGATTGCAGGGCTTCACAGGAAGACACTATCCCAGGCAGGAGAGCAAGGCCCCTGGGTGGAGGCTGCATCTGAGCCAGGCCTCAGCAAGGGGACCAAGGTGACATTGATAATGACAGGGCAGGAGGAGAGTCTTCTAAAGGTGCTGCCTGGTTCTCTCTGCCAAAGAGTGGGAGATCCCTGGTCCCTGGGATGCTGGGTGGAGAGGACCCGGTCCCAGGCATTCTCCAGGGAAATGCACCCACCACACACCCCTCCCAGGGGCCCTGGTGTCCACTTCTGAGCCCAGGCAGCTCCCTGCCCCTGAGAAGAGGAGAAGAAAGCCCCTCC